GACCATTTAACTATCCGTATATAATTTGTTCAGATAAGGACCAGAGCAGCGCTAGTAGGAGCAGGTTGTATTTATCAAGTACCCAGTATTTATTGAGCAGCTGCTTCTTATCTGGATGATAAAGGACCGTGCTGCAAAGTTCTGTTCCTTGCTTAAAAGATGGCATTGCCTGCATAAAGAAATCCCATAATGTGGACTGCATACCCACTATTGTCTGATTTGTGCAAAAACATTGCGGCTTCAGACAAGGGGCCCTATGAACAAGTTGTATTTCTTGGTAGCTGACATCATTTTGAAGAAAATAGGAGACAGTCGTATCCTCTTAACATTTACTAGGCCTAAATTCCTTTCTCCGTAATTGTAGAGTCATGGATGACTTCAAGCAAATAAGTGATGGATGAGATAAGGAAGGAGCATGTGCTTAAAAGCACTGTACACAATTTAGAAATGCTATGAAATAAAATGTTGACTAGACTATATGCTTTTTCAAAATGCTATAAAATAAAGGTACACATGGCAATGGGAAGAGTGGGATAGAAAAATCCCTACATCAGTATAGTATAGTCCACTTAGCACTATTGTTCTGAAATTTCTTTGTGCCTGACAATATCTCAGAAATACTGATAATAGCTATTCTGATAATAAGAGCAAGTGGGAGGAAGACTGACCCTCAGGGCACTGTGGTACATTCTCTCTGCCGTAATGAATATGCAGCTTGGGAATTGTGGCTTATGGTGTATTCAGAACCTTGGAAGTGGGAATTATTTGATGGTTAAATAACCCTTATGTAACCCATGGTTTGCTTTAGGGTTATATGAGGGTTGTTTAACCCTCAAATAACATCTGCCATTGGATTTTGACAACATGGCAAGCCATGACAAATTCTGAATTGGGCTTGCATAGTCTTAAAGGTAACCAGGCATACACCACAGCTACTCACAGGTAAATTAACTGATGAATATGCTGTGGTATCATGCAAAGTAACCCGTTGTGTGTGAGAGAGAGGTGGGGGGGGTCATCATCTGGCTACCCTCTTACCGAGTTTGTACAATAAAACAGCTCACCATTTTTTCACCATGTGTGGTTTTCACGATGTGTGGAACCTAGCATACCGACTCCCGTTCACCCACTTCTGGTTCACTGTGCAACTCAGGGATACTCTGTCCCTGACTTGTTCTTTGTGATGTCAAAACCTGGAACTGTTGATTGGTAAAGTAGACTCAAACCAGTTATAATGCAAGAACCAACCATTGTCTCATCATGTGAACCAACTCAGTGACTTCTTAGATAGGTTGCTGTTTACACTGGCAACATCCCTCTCATAGTGTATAATGGCTCTCATATTCCACCTACAAGGGAATGTCTGACCACATTGCGCTCACTAATAAAGTTGCCAAAGCTGATACAGGGATAGAGTGGTCCTGGATTAGTTCCACCCGCATTCCTGTCCATTTCTTCCTGTCCACAGAACTTGCCCTCAGCTTGACACGTTTACTTTATGCAAACTGCACTGACAAAAGTACCAACCAAAATGTTTTTAAAAGACTTCTGTGCAGGCTTCCCTTTAGCTTTATTCCAAAACTTTTCAGTTTTGTTAGTTTATAAAAGGCATTATGGCTTCAGTTAAATATTTGTGTGGCTGACTGTTGATGTCTTGATTTAAATCTGTCTTTTGATATGCTAATTAGACACTGAATAAAGCTTTTTCCCATGAAAGTGGTAAGACATTCCAGTACTCTTTTCAAAGAGCAACCCTCTAAACAATGGTGCCTTTGTTTATTCTCTCTGTTCACCAAGGCTTACCAGTTTACCTGGGGCGAATGCTTATGCCTCTCTCTAGGATCCACTTTCTGTATGTCTCCCTTCCACATCTTCTATTCAGAGCTTGATAGCAATTTCTAGATATGCATTGTGTGTGTTCCCACCGGGTCCCCTGGTAATGGCTACATTATATGGCTCAATAAAGGCCCAGACTTGCTATATAACCTTCAATGTACAGTCCTATCTCCCTGGGAAAATAAGTCATGACTAAATTAGTTATTTAGGCTAATTTCCGCCCTTGGTTTGAAGAAAGTTAAAACAAAGCAGAGTTCATCTCTGTGAATACACTTGGCATGCATCTTCCATCCTGGAATAGAGTCTTCCTCTTTCTCTCTTTTAATAGCATTTTTAAAAGAGAGTTTTTATTCTTAAATTTGGCTTTGATTCCTTTACATCAGAAGCTTTGAATATTGTTTAATTTATTCTTCAGTAGAGCTGTCAGTTGTAATCTGCAATTTAGGGCAGAAAAAAACTGAATAAAACAAATCCTCATTTCGTAGTTTAAACCTTATTGAGTCTAATTCACTTGCACGGCAAGTTTATTATTCTCCTGCAGCCTGACGTGCCTCCAATTGTAATTGTGTTGACCCTTCAATGCAGTAAATCTCCCCAGTGCTGATCAAACTGGGAAAGATAAGGCTACAGTTCAGAACTTCATTAAATATCTCATTTATATTAAAAAAGATGCTAGCTTTGAACAGAAATCATACTTCTACAGTGTCTCTGGTTGTGCTTCACCCACTTACTTCAAGTTTTACAAATTCCGTCTTGTGACCATCATTCTGGTACTGTGGAATCTCCTAAATGCAATGTAATGTTAGTCCTTTGGATCAGTTTGTAGAACTTGTTCTCATAAATGCCATTTATCCAAGATCCCACATACTTTGTATTACAAGGAAGCAGCTGCTCCTTAAGTCCATACTCAGGAAGCCTCTGAGCTGATGGGCAGTGAAAAAATATAATACTAAAATAAAATAAATACTTAGACTTTTTAAATTGAACTAAATTCCCCAGTGCCCCCAGATGTGCTTCCAAATTTGGCAGTCGGGAAAAGATGTAGCTGTACTATTGTAGAAATTTAAACTGGTCACATTTAGCCCACTTGTAAACCACTGTTAAGACATTTCCAGGGTGCCCCTAACAGCCCCACTTAGATTATTTTGATAGTCCATTCAGGTTATTGAAACGTTGGCATTTGAGGCCAGGTCCAAAGTCAAGTTAAGGTATAGTTTGCTTTGTCTCCTAAGTAGTATAAATTAATCAGAAGCAGAGAGCAAATTGTCATGTTAGGTTTTACAATAAATGCCTGTTTTGAAGAAGAAATTCATTATAATGTATAGATTTGTGGATGACATCATTCCATCCTTGGTTTGTCTTAGACTAGTAAGGAGCTTTCTGCATATTCACATGCATGTCACATGCTTTTCTTGTTTTCATAAAATCTACAAGGAACTTACCTTTTGTGTTGCTTTAATTTTATGGAATGTTGCTGGTGTAAAGGACTCATGAAAGTAGTGCCACAACATGTACAGTAGTTAACCTTTAGTAAGTCTGGCTGCAAACTTGGCCAAGTTAACTAGATTATGAGTGAAGCAAAGCCCTGTTTAATGGAGGGTCCTGTCCAGTGCCAGCCATGATTTAAACTTTAACCATGAGTTTGGCTACTAGAGTAGCAGGAGTATGTCAGACATGCAATCCTGAAGCCCACACCTCATCCGTTAAAAATGGTGGTCCAAGGACGCTCTGGCCCTTTGCTCACAGAAACAGAGTAAGTCAGAAGGGGTCTCCAGGGCGATCTAGTCCGATCCCCAGCTCCAGCCGGACCTACTCATGACATGCGTACCATGTGCATGTCCTGCCTATCCTTGAACACCCTCACCGATGGGGCTTCAACCACCTCTTGTGGAAGCCCATTCCATACTCTAAGGGACCTAACCGTCAGGAAGTACTTCCTGGCATCCACCCTAAATCTTGGTTCTCTGAGCTTTAGGAAGCTGGGAAGTCAAAGAACTGGAGAAGTTGCTTTAGTGTACGGGAAGTATATAGTAGGTTTGTGTTAGGAGAGCCATTCCATGAGCTATGGGGGCTTTGTAGGACAAAATCACCACCTTGAATAAGACTCAGAAACATATACAGTAAGCATAGCTGAGCCAGAATCAGTGTGATGGGATTGGACCTTCTTGTCCCTATTATTGATATGGTTGCTGCTTTGTTTTGCAGTGCAGCCAGGCATAAAGCTCCCTCTCCCCTTCCTTACCCCTGAGCCCTCAGCTTTGCTGACTAGAGGCACCCTGCTGGGCTTCTGAAAGCTGCTGTGAAGCCTGCGGGGGCTGAGAAAAAGTGGGACAAATTTCATTTTTGTGTGTGTAACGAAGCTGACAGAGATGCTCTCCAGTCCCTGACAAGATGAAGTCTGTTGCCCTTAGGGTCAGAAACCTTGAGCACAGCCGCCCTCAACACACACACACAACATGCACGCACAAACAACTAGATGTTATTATAATCCCTGCAATGATCATGCTGATTCCAGATCGTGGCAAAACTCTTACATTAATGAGTTTTTATTTGTATGTTCATGGTTTTGGAACTGGGGTTTATAAGGCAAAATCAGGTGACGGTGACAAATTGCTCCATTTGGGAAAGGGTTAAAAATCAGATTTGAAATGGTGTGATCTTTCATTTTGCTTCATTCCCTTTTGTCTCTCCCTTTATCCACCACCCCAAAATAAAATAAACCCCAAATTTGGAGGACAAGCCATCCATCTGTGGAAGAAGGCCAGGCCGTCTGCCAGATAATTGTAAGCCGTCCAGAGACTTTTTTAGTAATGGACGGCATAGAAAAAAATTAAATAAAAATAAATCAAGTAATTCTGAAATGTAGGGCTTTGCTTACTTGCTGAAAGAAATGTGCAATACAGATAAGCAAAACGTGCTTCCTTGTCTTTGCATGTTCTTCCTGAAGAAGGATGGAGTCCGACAAGGCTCCGTCGGAGGTGCAGTGTAGAGAGGCACAAAGTTGGTCATTAAGCAGCACTGTCACTGCAAATTATTGTGGGCCAGGGTGAAAAGTTCTAGCTCATTTGGTGCCCAGCCAGGGCCCAGCCTACAGCGAGTTGTTATGGCTCCCCCATGCTGTTAAATGGACCCTCAGATCTGATCCCCCCCACCTTTCTGTGCAGTTGGAGTCACCTGGGAGTCCCCCAGGGCCAGAGCTGCCTATTGAGACAATGTTGGACGACAGGGAGCGGAGGATTTCTCATTCCCTCTACAGCGGGATCGAGGGTCTCAGCGAGTCACCCACCAGGAGTGCTGCCCTGAATCGGATAATGGGTGAGTCAAGCAGAAACAGCTAATCTTGTCTCGTTCTTCATCTGTTTTTGTGGTTGTTCTGATGGGTGTTTGATGCATTATGTATGTGGGCCACAGAGAACATTGCCGTGACCAATCCTGAAGGAAGCCTTTTCCCTTCCCCAAGTTGAGCAGAGAGGTTTCTTAATGTGAGTCAATAAATTGATCAAGTAAGTCTCGGATCGCAGAGCAAGAGATAACCACAGAAAGATTTTAAAATGTTTTACCGTGTCTCAGGTGCAGAGAGATGCTTTATGCTAGTCCATAAGAGTCTGCTTGGTGCAGCTTCATTAAATGTAAAGTCAATGAATGTTATGATTAAGCATGTATCATTTAAGATTCGTCATGGATTTTACCTCCCATTTGACTCCCCTCCAAAACCAGATAAGCGCATGTGAAGCTGATCCAATTTGTGCTTAGTATGTTTATTTCAGGGCCTTTTTTGTTTTTCTGCCTTAAATGTCTTGGAGGCTTCCTAGGTTCAAAGTCATATAGCTAATTTTATGCTTCCTTTGTCTGCATTCAGTACTCTCCTGTCTGCCTGGACCCCCAGCGCATAATGAGGTTATTAGCACTTGGTCTAGAGCAATTCAGGGTCCGCTGCCCTGTCCTCTGAAAGATCGAGTTTATAAAAACTGGCTCTGTCAAATGTGTGACTGGATTTATCAAATAACTTTATAACAGGGATCAGTTCAAGCAGACTTTACAAGTTTTAAAATGTGAGAATATGTTTTAAATTGATATAGCACCTGATGCAATGCAATAATTTTAATCCCAGATTCATCTGCAAGTCTGAGACTCAGATGTAGCTGCTAAAGTATCTTTTTCATGCACTGATAGTCAGTAAGGACATGAATATCCATAGAATGAATTTGGAAACCCTATGCTGACTTTGCTCAAAGCAGTGGTATATCTATTTTTAATTTCCTTGTTTAACTTTCATTTTTCTTTTTAATGGGGGGATAGAAATTCCATTAGTATGGAGGATAAGGGCATGATCATGTGCATTTCTAGATACCCCCCCCAAAAAAAAGTCTTACAATTCTCAGCATTTCCCAGCAATAGCAACATTTCTGGGGAATGCTGGGAGCTGTAGGACTTTTTTCTGTTTAAAAATGCATAGGATTGTGTTCATTGAATAACAAGGGATGTAGTTTCTACATACAGCTTTCATTCATGCGCTCCAAATTTCATGCATTATATGACTGGTGCTCTGAAAAAATGAACAAGATCCAAGGTGTAGCATTCTCCTTGAGACTTTAATGCCCACTTCCTTCCCTCTTGCTCATCTTTCCTTTTTCTGTTGACAAAATGGAAGAAATGGGTGGGCTAAAAGCTAAAGTTTTATACTACTTATACCCATAGGAAATGTGGCTCTTGTTTTCAGTGGGTGAATTTTACATTACCTAACCTCTTCATGTTGGTAGGGGTGATGGTCACTAAAACAAGCAGGGATGTATGAACTTTGTTAAAATTGTTCCATGTTTGCTTTGCAAGTTTTCATCCTTCAAGCAGTTGTCTGAACATGAGTGAAACTGGATTTTGATTTTTTTACATACATTCCACTTGTGCAACTGATCATTTGAGGAAATTCTCCCTTCCTCAAAAGTAAAAAGCCAGCTTGCAAGTTCATGGAATCTGCATGACTCAGAAAAACCCCATCTGCTGCAGAATTTACTCTTTGGAACCCAATGCTGATTTCTGCAAAAGGCCGTTTCGCCTGTAGGCAAAAGCCTCTCTGGGTGGTTAATAGAATTAAAAGGAAACAATAACAGCAAGATACTACCAACCACAACAAAAGCAATAAACCAATAAACCAGTATAACAAATCAATACAACCAATAGAACAGCAATAGACTAATTACAGTGGTCACAATTACGTTGTGGAAAAGCACAGCAGCAGATAAAATACAATATAATGTTAAAACCAAAGTAAAAACTTTACAATTATTAAAATACCTGGCAAATAAAAAGGTTTTCACCTGGCACATGAAAGAAAAAAGAGTAGGCACCAGATGTACTACTTTGGGGAGCTCATTCCATTGACAAGGTGCTGCCACAGAGAAAGTCCTTCTCCTGGTTGTCATCTTCTTTGCTTCTGTTACAAGGGGCTCCCTGAGAGAGAGAGACCCTGAAAGATGAGATTAGGGCCCAGGTATGTACATATGTATGTACATACATAGGGACTGCAGGTGGCACAGTGGTTTAAACCACTGTGTTGCTGGGCTGGTTGATTGAAAGGTCGCCGGTTTGAATCTGCACAGCGGGGTGAGTTCCCGTTGCTCCATCCCAGCTCCTGCCAACCTTGCAGTTCGAAAGCATGCAAATGCAAGTAGATAAAAAGGTACCACTTTGGTGGGAAGGTAAACAGCATTCCGTGCACTTCGGTGTTTAGTCATGCCGGCCACATGACCACAGAGACTGTCTGCGGACAAATGCTGGCTCCCTCGGCCAGGAAACGGAGATGAGCACCGCCCCCTAGAGTCAGGCATGACTGGACTTAATGTCAAGGGGAAACCTTTACCTTTTATGTACATAAGGGATGAGGCATTCCTTCAGATAACCTGGTCCCAAGCCAGTTAAGGCTTTAAATGTCAACACTAGCACTTTGGATTGGGCCTGGACTTCAACAGGCAGCCAGTGCAGCTGAAAGAGGACTGGCAAGATACAGTCTCATGGGCTGGTCTCAATTAACAGTCGTGCTGCCCAATTCTGGGTCTATGGACCATTTTCAAAGGCAGCCCCTCATAGAGTGCATTACAGTTATACAAGCAAGAGACTACCAGAGCATGGATCACTGTCACTAGGTTCCATCTGTCCAGATAGGGACACAGTTGTATCCCGATCTGGGATGACAGAAGGTGTTCCATGCCACTTGTGACTCAAGTTCTGGGTCTAGAAACACCCCTCAATTCTGAGCCTTGTCTTTTAGAGGGAGTACAACCCCATCCAGGACAGGTTGAATATCTCCCAACTGGACAGATGATCTTCGCACCAACTGCACCTCTGTCTTGTCAAGATTGAGTCTCAGTGTGTTGGCCCTCATCTGGTGCACTACTGAGCCTAGACTCTATTCAGAAGGTCACTACCTTACCTGGCTTCAATGAACAAGAGCGATTGCTGAGGGTCATCTGCATATTGATGACACCTCAGCCCATACTTTGAACTCCACCAGCAGTTTCTTGTAGATTTTGAAGAGCACGAAGGATAAGACAGAGCCCTGCCTTACTCTGTGGCATAACTGTCATGGCACAAAATCCTCCAGCACTGCCTTCTGGTGTCTGGTATCAGTTGGTCAGGTAGGAGGGGAACCACCACAATGCAGTACCTCCTACTCCCATCCTGTCCAGAAGTATTCCATGGTTGATGGTATCAAAAGCCTCTGACAGGCTCAGGAGGATCAACAGGGTTGCATTCCCTGTCTCTGTCTCACAAGAGGTCACCTCACAGGGAGACCAAGGCAGTTTCCATTCCAAAACCAAGCCTAAAGACCAATTGAAATGATAGTCTGTTTCTTCCAAGAATGTTTGGAGCTGTTTGGCTTAACTTAAACACCTTGCCCAGGGTAAGAACACTGGCCAAAGGCCTATAGTTATTCACATCTTCTGGGCCCAGATTAGATTTCTTTAGGAGTGGCCTGATCACAGCCTCTTTTTTTTTAAAGAGTCTGACATCAGTCTTTCTTTCAGAGAGGCATTTACAGCCTCCTGGACCTAGGTGTGAATCCCTTTCTTTGATGTAACAGTAAGCCAGGACTGAAGCATGCAGGTGGTATGCTGAATTTAACCAAGCACCATTTGTACATCCTCTGGCCGCAGTAACTGAAGCTCATCCAGAAAAACTGGACCAGATGGTGCTTTAGATGATTATTGCTACACTCTGGTCTTGAAAGAGGTTATTTTCAAAGATGAGCAACCCTGCTGTGTGAGTTGGGTCCCTGAGTTTAGATCCAGTTGTTAGCATTGCTAACAAATGTCCCATCCTGCCATCCACTAATGTCAGAGACCAAAGTATATATTTATTTACCTAGCAAATATTAATAATCTTAGGACATTTACTTGCACAATTATGGACAAATGTTAACAAAGCTGTAATTGTAGTTGTCCCTGCAGAGTTCCCAATCATGTTCTCACAAGGTAAGGATTCCTCCCCAGTTATAGAATTCCTAACTGAATCTGTATTTTGTACTTCTCTGTTAATAAATGTATTTTTCCTTTTTATATTGAAAAGCAAGTTCCAAAGCATTCAGTATTGCCACATGTCCAGACTTGCAGAAACATGTCTATATAGATAGATATTTATACCATCCAAAGCTCAGTAGTGTGACTCTTCCTATTATTTTCCAACTTTCTGCAATAATGGAGCTTATAAAGAAAACTGACAAACAAATAGAGTAAACAAGTTAAGTGTAAAAAAAGCAGAAAGTGTCAGTTAACTAATTTCAGTTTTACAATGGAGTTAAGGCAATGCTTCATTGTGGTTCTCTTTTAGAAATATAATATACTCACCGTAGTAATTTGATTTTAAATTTGATTATATGTTAACTAAATTCCTAAAAGAAGTCTCCAAGAATTAAGGCAGCCTTTCACAACAATTCTATAGTAACACAAGTGGTTTACAAACTTACATTGCTTTCAGTTGTGAAATTAAAGGAAAACCACTATTTCTCCAGTTTGTTTAGGACTATCTGTAGAGAATCACTTTCCACTTTAGCATATCAACTGTATTCCTTCTCCACGTTGCATTTTTAAATATACAGTGAGTTCTTCAACCAATCCAATTTCTTTCTTAGTAACAAGCTTCTGTGTATCCCAATTATAGGGAGCCATAAGTTAATTGGGGCCAAAGTTTTTATACTGAGGTCATTTCCTTCTTATGGGTATTATATAGTCTTACTTTTTCAGCGGTTTTTTCCTCTTCATTTTCTTTTTGTTTTACCACTGTGTTGCCTTTTTAGTCAAGCTCGATGTGAAATTACGGTGCAGCAATGGTCAGTAACCCCATCTTCAGGTATCGGTGGATGAATCACAAGTAGGAGGGAGACATGATTCATCTTTGTGGGTGGATTGTGTCCAGGACTGACCTGTAGGTTGTTGTTCTCCCCCTCATTCCACCAATCTGAAATAAAAGAAATGCATTTTCTTTTACATTTCAGTGCAACTACTAAAATGTCATCATTCATTCTTGCTGAAATATTAAGAAGTGCAGAAAAAAGCTAGACATGCCACTGAATTACTTTTGCCTCTCAACCTTGGAGGCTTCATCTGTAAAATGCCATAAGGTTATACTGTTTCGCATTCAGCTCTTTGGAGACGTTATTAGCCACAGAGTTAACAATCTTGTAGGCATTATGTTTGGAAAGGAGTGCATTACTAGGCTCAGCATTAACCTGTCCATCAAAGAAGCTTTTGCTGGGCAGAGAATTAGCTGCTATGCAAACTTGAACACATTCATTTCAGCTTGACAGTGATGGGTCTGCGTGCAATGCAGCGCTTTTTCTTTCAATCTTTCCCCAACTTTTTTGAAGAATGGACCTGGCTCTCTCTTTATGCTGCCCACTTTTTCAGCTGAAACTTCATTGCTCAAACATCTTCCCATCTGTCTGTCTGTCTGTGGGTCATGATCCTTTCATGTATGGACACCATGATCTCTGTAGAATACGTCAGAATTCTGTTCCATTTCCTCCTCATTTTGCATGCAAAATCACTCCGTATGTTTGGTCTTTCTCGAGATTATAATAGCTCAACTCTCATATTCCATTGTAGTCCTTCCCACTTGGGTTGCTTAACCTCTCTGCTCACAATGAAAGTTAGTATAGCTTAGTAACTAAGAAGTTGAACTAAAAATAAGAAAACCTTTGTTATTATCAATGATAATTTGAATCTGGCCTCTGCCATTAACTTTAGTAGATGGCCTTAGGTAACCCTTTCCTTCCCACCACTCTTACCCTCTTTGCATCTCGGTCCCATTATTTGTAGCTGGACAGTTCAACATGGTCCAAAGATACAGTTGCGCATTATCATCACCATCAGTGTTGTTATTGTTACAGGAAAAAATGTATGTAATACATCAGTAGCTAGTGATAACTCCAAAACATGTACTTGACTATCACCATTCTGTGTCTGATGAGGTACTCCAAGAAGTTGTTGGAGACTCAATTCAGCCCAAGGGCTGAATTAAATTTCAGAGAAGCTCCTGGGGGTTTCATGCAGTAGTTCTCAGGGCCAAGGGCAGAAACAGTGAAGCCAGAGTTGCAGAGGCAGGACTGGAATGCCAGGATATGCTTGCTTAAAGCTCTTACTGCCACTAATTAAGCCTTGGGAGAAGTATTTTGTGGTTTTGGAGTAGGCGGAAACAGCAAGCACCACCACTTCTCTGCAAAAGCTGGGAAGTCACTAGAAAGGACAAGTACCAAAGGGCTGGATTTCACTCCCCCAACCATGTAATAGACAGCAATCCATGAATACTTACACCTTATATAACTAGGTTAGCATGGAAAGTGCTGTGGTACTTTTGGTTTGTGTATTTCTTAACTGTGGAATGCAGAGACTGTAGTAAGTATTCAATGTGCATTGTTTGTACTCATCTTTCCTGTTTTGTACAGGCAAATACCCGCTTTCTCCAACAGTCAACATGCCCCAGGATGACATGGTCATTATAGAAGACGATAGACTGCCAGTACTACCTCCACATCTTTCAGACCAGTCATCGTCCAGTTCCCACGATGATGTGGGCTTTGCAACAGTGGATACTGGAGCCTGGAGTAAACCAGCAATTAGTGAGTCCACAGAATGGTAAGGTTTATGCCCACATGAAGTTATTCTCTGTATATCAGACACTTGGGGAACAATCCTATACATGCTTAAACAGACTACTGTCCTGCAACTCCTAGAGTTTCCAGCAAGCCACACTGGGAGTTGTGTGGGGGAAGGGGGGTGTTCCTAAACATGCATTACATTGAACCCTAATGTGCCTTTGACTCCTGTACTTTTCATCACTGGGTGATGCAGAGAGCTTCTCTTTAAAAATGGCCTTCCTAGCCCCACTCCTGAGTTGTTTGTCCCTGTCTGGGAAGCAGAGCAGAAGAGAATTATGGGAACTTTCCCCTGACAATGATGCAAAGAGATGCTTGTTCGAAGCTACACTGCCAAGGATGCTTTGGAGTTGTGTTTACTGCACAGCATCCTTCCCTACCCTGCATAAAAAAGTCTTTTGAAAGTGGGGTAGTTGCTGGCATTTTATGAGGGTAGCTTGTGGCATGGCTTGGGGCTCTGTTCTTCAAAGACAAAAATATCCATGCAAGAAGCACAGGATGGACTTGGATATCTAAAGGACTGACTCCTTCCATACTGAACCCATCCACTAACTGCCAGATCACTGGAGGCCTTTCTTCCTCCAGGTATCCCCATTACTGGAGCGGGCACTTATGGGGAAAAAGGCCCTTTCCTGTCCTGATTACAAAACTCGATGCCTACTCAGGTGTGCTTGGCACCTCCCTTGTTATCTTTTAGGTACCAGGCATAGGCCACCTTGTTTTCTCCTGTCTTTCCTTTCATAGTCTTTGATATTTAAGACTCCTTTCAATTTTCCTTTGCTGCTTGCCAATGTTTTATATGGATTTTTACTGGCTCATGGTAAGTTTTAACTACTGGTTTAATGTAGCCATTGCCAGTTGCTGCCAGTTCATTTCAGCTTGCCAGTCTACCCAATGAGTGTTAGCATAAAGGCATTGCAGTTTTCTGCACAAGGGTGTTAATTAGCAATATCTGCTTTTGGTTTCATTGCAGAATTGAGTTCCAAGCACTACACATAAAACATTTCTTTTCCTGCTTTGGCTTTCATAATTTCCTGGTGACACTGTGGTATAACAGTGTAGTGAAAGTATACAAGTGGAAAAAGCATTCTCTTACAATTAATGACTAAATTTCCCTTCCTCTAAAAAGCTTGCCCGAAAGTATTGCTTAGACAGAGAAGCAAAATTGTAGGGTCACAATATCATCTCACGAACCTGTAAACAACCTTGAGTAGGGAATGACGATCACACAATAAATGTCTCATGTAGAAAAGCCCCATGTAGAAGAAAGTTATCAGCACCTTTACCTACCAACAATCGTCTCCTGTCTGGCAATATTGCCTGCAATCCTTTCCTGCCGCAGGGGATTTTCTTCTTGGAGAGGGCATATTTGCAATGGTTCTAAGGGATCTAGGTGGAAAAGTGCTTGCTCTGTACATGTTGAAGCATGCACAGAAGGATGAAACCTTCTCTTCAAGGGAAAGGTGTAAATGTCAACTTCTGAATTACCTTATATGTGCTGTGCATAAGCATACAGATGATCACTCAGCAAATGCTGCATGTAGACAAGCAAACTTTTAAAATACTTTGTATGCAGTGGATCAATGTAAATAAAATTATCATTGTTTAGATTTCTTTCTTCACCTACAAAGATACCTACAAATTTTGGTTTGTAGGACTTTTCATTCTGTTGAAGCTGTGTGCGTGCGTGCGTGCGTGTTGGAAGAAGTAGGGGGAGGTAGTTGTTTTGGTTTGGCTTGTTTACAATGATCTGCAGAATAAATATTGCCTAATTTTTAGGTAGTGCAGTCTGCACTAATCCAAGACAAGGACATTAATTTGTAAACCTTGTAATTATGTTCAGCAATAAGCAAAATAAAAGACCTCTCTCTGGAACCCCCTGCTAGGGCTGTGATGATAATTAACACAAGCAGGTTGACGTATGAGAATTTTCCACGTCCCACACTCTCCTGGGTTTGGTATAACTGCGTCAGCAATATCTTAATAAGAATTAGCACCAGCAAGTGTCTCTTTGTTTGAATTTGCATGAGTCAGCTATTTCTTAATATCAGTGTGGGTTTGTGTTTGGTGGCATTGCTTTATTTTGTCTTTAAAGTTTTTAATTGTTATCTTAAAAGCCATTTCTTTCTCCATCACATGTGATTTTTCTCCTCCTTGCCTATTTCAAAGAAGCACAATTGTAATTTAAATTCTTCAAATGCCCAACTTTGTCTTTGTGTGAGAAAAGGCTTTAAAGCTAAAAATTTTGGGTGGGGGGGGTGATACTGAACAGCACTCAAAATTCCATGTAATAGCTCATGTTGATGTGGATTTTTCCAGTTGAGTGTGGTAAGAGAACCACAGCAGAATGCAAAAACCCATTTGTAGATGCTTTTATGTCTACTGCAGTAGAATATTTTCTATCTCATGCATTTGCTCACATGGGAAGAAAGAATGAACAGCTATTAAGAATCATTAGATTTCTACTGCAACTACTTTTATTTTTGTCCTTCCAAGGGCAGAGATGCCATTACAAAAAGAAGCAAATCAGTTTGGAGCCTTACTTGTGTTGACTTCATTTTATTTGTTACAAAAAATAAACTCCATAAAATAAAATAGAATAAATAGCAGTTGGGAATGGATTTTTTTTATTAATTTCCTGCTGCTAATGGACAAAGGAAGGCTTGTAAAATGAAGGTGTATTCTGTGAGTTTGCTGGAAGGCACCAAGGGGTGAAGCTAAGAATATGGACGAAGGGTTATCCAAACAAGAATGGCAGCTGTTCTGAATCATGGTCGAAAATGTAAGCTTTTTCCAGGCTGACAATATCTCCCTAATCCTTGATGAAAATGTTATGAAAACAAAGGGACAATGAGACAGGATTAATAAGTGGAATTTTAATAACATTGAGGGTCACAATACGGTTACATTCTTTAAAGAGTCAAATGTCGTTCCAGGAGCCTTAGTTATTATAATACATTTTGCTGCTTGTTGGTTTTATGAATTACAATAATAATAGACAAAGTGACTTTAACATCATTCTGAAATATTAAGCACAGCTATTTGGGACTGTTACTCAGCTATACTGAATGATTTTTCAAAGTGCTTTCCATTTATGCTTTTTAAGGTTTTACAACAAATCGTTCTACTTAGTAAAATGCAGTGCATCTCATCACTGTATTGAATAGTACAGTTTGGTAAATCCTGCCCATGAAATAGAAAGGTACCCACTAGGAGCAGGATCTTTTTAGTCCTTCGTTATAGGATGCCACTCTGGGACAGTCAGTCTGGCCCTGGACCTTCTAATCTGGGAAGGTGTTTCCATGAACATCTCTGTCCTGCTGAGTACCATCAAGGTGCAGCTAACTGGCAAAATGAATCATTAAAAAAAATTTGTGTAGCTAATTGGTGGACCTGAAGCTCCTGCTTGACTTGCTGTCTCCTCTGTTCCTGTGGCCCTGGGGGTAATAAGGATGCGTCTGAGAGTGTGGAGTGAAGAGAGATGCTGTGGATAGCTGCTACTCCTCTGAGAAGACTCCGTGTTCCTGGTCTAGGCAGAACTGAACCCTGAAAATGAGCGTGGCACAACCCCTTCAGTTCAACAGAGTAAAACTGGTCTTGGTCACATCCATAAGCTGTATTAGTAAATACTACAGAAGAAATCTTTCATTTAATGCTACATGTACCTCAAAACTACTTCCTGGCCACCAAGTGAGGTTGCTCACAGATGATCTGTGCAATGCACAATCTATAAGAAGTATTTATCTGAAATATTTCTGTATCACCCTTCATCACATGGATTTCCAGTGCAGTGTGCAGTACCAATAAAAATACTTTAAATACATTTCAGAGGTGTTGGAATTCGTTTTTAAAGTGCTTGAAGCTTCTTTTGCTCAGATCATTGGGTGCCCATTGGATTTCATCCATTCTAAAAATCACCCAAAGAGAGCAGAACAGGGCTAATTTGTGGGGTATGCAGAAGACCTGTCCCAAGGTACAAACAAAATTTTTCATTCATTTTAAGGTTACTTTTAGAAGCACCAAAGTCCTGTTAATGTTAGTGGTGAATCCCATGGGTGCAGAGGTGGGATGGCCCTGTTGGACACTGCCCAGAAAAGTAAATATCCATGGGATTCACTTGGGCTTTGTAGTGATTAAAAATGTGTTCCTATTTAAAAAACAGGGTGTTTCAGACTTAAAGGTGCTTCTCATACAGTTCAGTGTTCTCTGCATGGTTCTTTAGGTGCAGAACATACAAGCTCTGAAAAACGCGTCTGATGGCGGCCCTCCAGTTGTGTTGACCTTTGACCAGCAACTCCAGTCAGCTTCACTTTTGGCTGTGCTGGCTGGGACTGGGGCTAATGGGAGTAGTAGTCCAATACATCCCAAGGATCACAAATTCCCTACTCCAGCTTCAAATCACATTCATCCCACTGCCCTCCTCAGGGAGATCAGGGTAGCATACACTGGAAGCAATAAACCAATCTAAGCAAACTGTAGTAAACAACAAAACCCAGAGCAGTGAAAATATTTAAGAAAGATCAAGAGCGTGATTGAATTATTTTTTGTTTAACTTCCTTCCAATTGCAAGTGTGAGGGGGCCATGTAGGGATTCAGTTCCAGAAGTGATGGAAGCTAACATAAACAAGTGCCTTATCACACATTACCATTTTATGAACAAACAGCAAGAAGGGCCTTTGTAAAATACCTTTCCGTTTGAGGGCAGGATTTTTGGGAGAAGGCAGTCCTTCTGAGTTTAGTTAGCTTCAAAGTAAAGATATGCCAGTTGAAACACACACTTCTATATCTTTGCATGTGCATTTTCTTCCACCTGGAATTACCACTTCTGTAGCTTAGTTGTAGTTGCTTTTTTCAGGTACACACTGCAATTTGTGCAGCAAGAAAGACACACTTAACATCAGAGACTGATGTTCAAATCCCTACTCAGTTGTGAGATCTATGGGTGACCTCGGGTCAGTCCCTTTCTCTAAACCTTACTTACCCCACAGGGTTATTGTGAGGAAAATGCACTGTTTTCACTTTACCTTTCAAGCTAACAATCTCCCTAAAGTAGTTTATACTAATGAAGTAAAATAATCATAAAAATGTCTAGTTAACCCCTCCTCCCTCCCAAAAGCAATTCACAATAGACAAAACCTGTAATTTCAGCTCAGGTAAAAGTTTTGAAACAGTGACTTAACTAACATTATTATAAACCATCAGGGACGAGCAGGATGCATGAGATGGAATGTCAAAGCCTATTTTAAATCCTGGATTGTAGGGTCATTCACACTTTTGTGGATGAATAATGACATAGATCTGGGGCCACCACTGAAAGGTCCCCTCCTTAGCTCCGGCAGCCTAACTAGCAGGCATTGGAGGAGGTGTACTCGAAGTGCACAGGCCGAGTCATATAGGTCAAGGTGGTCCTTCAAATACAAAGGCACTTACCTAGGAAAAGTAACGAGACACATCTTGCTTGTTCTCAGTGTTACGGAAGACTGATGCTGCATGCAGATGTTTTGTTTCATGACTGTGATGGATGTACACTTTGGTAATCTTGTCTTTCCTCCTTCCCTGACAGCACTCTGAGTCCAGATGTTGATCCAGTGCTTGCCTTCCAGCGAGAGGGATTTGGACGCCAGAGCATGTCAGAAAAACGCACAAAGCAGTTTTCAGATGCCAGCCAGTTGGACTTTGTTAAGACACGGAAATCCAAAAGCATGGACTTAGGTATTGAATTTAACACCCCCAGCCCTGACCATGGTGTTGTATTTCAACAAGTTTCTCCAGGTTGCAATTACAGTGTTTGTTGTTTCATGATGAAGTTTATATTACTGGTTTTACCAAACAGTTGCTTTACTCATGCAGCTGGATTCAATATGTGGCATGAAGAATTCTTAATATGCATTATGTGTGTCTGTGCAATTTTAATTTTAGATGTTTTAAACCTTATGTTTATGCAGATGCATGTTATAGCTTACAGTTTAGTATATGGTCCTCTGTGTGCATGTGATTAGGTGCTTTTCAGAAGTGGAAATAATCCCCAAACAACTAACTTCTGATAGTTGGGGCATGGATAAGTTTCCCTTATACTTTGTGACTGTAGTGTAACTCTAACCACCTTGGTATACTTGGCTTTTGTGTCTCCTACAGTGGTCCAACCATGCAAGTGACAATCAGATGTACTTCAAAGTCAGCCCATTATTTTCAGTGAGACTTACTGTGGAGGACTCCAGGTCTCGAACCAAGCATCTCATGACTGGATGCTGGGAATTAGTAATCAACCCAGAATTGTAGCCATTGCTCACAGTGCAGAAGGAAGTAAACGTGTATAACATCTTCGAAAGTCCTTAAAATTGGCAGGCAATATGAAACCTTGGATTTGCACATCAGGCATACATCATCGGCATCATCGTTATTTACATTTCTATACTGCCCGTAGCCAAAGCTGTCTGGGCAATTCACAACAGGATATAAAAACAATAAAATGCAATACATAAAACAGCACTTAGAACATTTAAACTAATTAAAATAGCATTCAATCATATTAAAATACATTAAAATGAAATAAAAAGACCCAACCAAAAAGGGCACCTGGGTAAACCCATTTGGCCCCTTAATGACCAGGGAAATCTTTAAAGGCCTCCACAGAGAGGGCTGTCCTAACCTGTTGCCAGGTGGATTGTAGCAGGGAGGTTGTTCTAGAGATGGGGGACCATCACAGAGAAGGCCCTCCTCCTAGTTGCCACCCTCTGAGCCTCTCAAGGGGTTGGCACCCAGAAGAAAGCCCTAGAGTGTAGTGTCATTAGAGAGCTGGTCAGCAGCTGGTACCACCTGCTTGCTACTCCAGATTCCAGGTGATGGCCTTTCCCAAGCCCTGGTTACAGCTCTAGTCTTGACCCTGGTTCCAGATCAAGTTTTCCAATCCACTTTCATCCCACCGCCCTCCTCAGAGCCTCATGGTCATTTAAAGACAAGATGAATTGTGAGAGTCCATTGCATCAGATGCAGAAAGTAGAATTTAAGGGGTTGGTACTGTGGGAAGATGGGGAGCAAGACAAAGAGGGAAATAAGTCAAACTAAAGCATTGTAAAAACAAAAAACAGACAGAAAGCCTTGTAAGTTGCCTTGGGATCCTTGTGCAAGATGAAGAAAGAATAGTTGTAGCAAGAGGAATGGTACAAACAAGTACTGAAAGAAGACACTCATTAATTTCAACTACTGCTTCAGCCTATGACTTAATTGCTTCTTGTAGCAGGTTTACTTTCTGGACAACACAGCACAGCTATGCATAGAAATGGAATAGAAAGCCTTCTAGCTGTGGGATGGAATATTGATGCAGTAAATAAAATAAATATCAGCTGAAATCATCAGGTGGTATTAGCACCTGCGTGCTCCCCCTTATCAACCAGACCTGTTGACAGCAGCAGGTTCTACAACCTGAACTGTCAGGCTTTGCTCCAGTTAGATTTTGTTTCAAACCTTCAGACAGCAATGGGCACCTACAGGATTAACAACTGGCCTTCTGAAAACAGTATCACCTAGAAAAGATTGGCAAGGTCAGAACTGGCAAAACCAAAAGCCTGTCTAGTCCAGCATTGTGTTTGCATAGAGACCAAAAGCAAAACCCACAACCAGGATGTGAGAACAATTTTGCATTCTCCCGCTTATGTTCCTGATCAGTGGGTTTTGAGAGAGAGATTGCTTCTGAGCTGAAGTTAATAGATAGCTGTTATGGCTAGCACCATTGATAGTCTTGTCCTCCATGAATTTGTCTAGTCTTCTTTGAGAGCAGCCCCAAATTGGTGGCCATCTTGTGGTAGCAGATTTCATCTTGTGGTAGCAGATTCAATAGTCTGACTATACAGTGTGGGGAGAAATATGATACTTGCTTTTATCTCTCTTGAATTTTCCATCACATAGCTTCACTGACCCCAGGTTATAGGATTTTGAGAGAAGGAGAGAAATTTCACTTCCCATCCCTGCTCTCTAGACAATCCATAATGTAGTCATGCAGGGTTCATCTATTCCAGGACCTTTCAAAGTGAGGACAAAGGGCAAAGTAGTGAAAAGACAGCAGTAGTGGTGTCAAATTGCTATGCAGATCACAAATTAAGACAAGATGCAATCAAATCAGTATAAGATCTAATCAGAGTGGGTGAGTGGCTACTAGTGCTGGATAATGTAAATAAACATCTCAAGAGAGAGAATTACTCTCTGCAGTGAGGCAGTCCACCTGGAGACCTAGTTTTGCAATGTCAGATTTGGTGATGTGCAAGTTCATGCCAGAGTCTCTCCATTTTAAATGTTTGATGGAGTATGGAAACTTAAAGTTCTGTTGCAGAATGTTCTGGGCTTAAATTATGGCATACAGTTGCTTTGCATTAGCTTTTGCTCTAGTCAAGGTGGAAGAAGTGCCATGTCTTACTAATCTTAGCTTGTACCTCATTAACAGACATGCAGCTGAGCAAGCCTTTGATGGTATCGGATATGTTCTTTCATCTGTAATATTGTTGAGCGAAGCAGATACAGGGACTGAGGCTTGCTGTGAAGGCTTGTTTCTTGGTGTGAGTCTATGTTTGGCCCATTCAGAGACTGTGCAGGGCTAAAGACCAAGCTTGGCTTGCCTCCATTTCTCCCCTCCTATTGCTTCAGCATTCCAGGAAGGAGTGAGGTAGGACACCACCGAGAAGCAGTGCATCCAGACCACAGAACTACTATATAAACAGTAAAAGGAAGACAGAGAGGAGAGTCAGGAAACTCCAGAGAGCTGGAAGTCCAAATGGTAGTGTCTGAATACTTTGTTTCCTGGGAATTGTTGCAGATTGCATGCTAGGAGACAGATTTATTGGGGAGGAGGGATAGTAAAGGCTTTGGATTCCCTGATGAGTTAGCCATCCCTAGGCTGGGGTGGAGGCCAGAAAATACTTATCTCTCCCCAGGTTAGCAGAGATAATAAAGTGACTCTCTGGGGTCTTATCAATATAGGTGTTTATACCATGTCCATTGATGGTAGGCAGGCTGTAAGCAAGTGTAGATCACCCTGTGGCAGAGAAAGTTTACTTCCAAAATGGGCCATTATTGGAGATCTCTCCTTGCCATATGGTCCAATATCCTGCCTTCCTCAGGAGCAGTCCCATGGATCAAGGATGAGTGGTGAGGCTGCCCAGCAGGGAAGACAGCAGGAGTGATACCATTACACCAGTGGCTGGTCCACGCCACAGTGTCGCCTTCTAATCCCCACTTCCCTGTACAATTCTCCGGATGGTCTTGAACCCATCGCTATCAACCAATCCGACCAAACTACATGACAGCATGGTTGTGAGGATAAATATAGAGAGCTATATCTTGTAAGCTATGTCCAGCAATTTGGAGGAAGGGCAGGCTAAAAATGTGATAACGCAAAAACAAATTATTTGTTATTTATCACATTTCTGTCCCATCCTTGCAGTGTTGTTCTGAGGTCATTGGGGTGCTCGTTGGAGGGATCAGTAACTCTTCTGAGCATGTTGTGAGAAGGGTGGGATAATGTTGTTAAAGAAATAAATATAATATAGATATGATATAGCATGAGTATGTGTAACATACATATAGAGTCCATTTCTATATACATTGGTATTTATATGTATATTTGTACTGTATTGCCCAGAAATTGAACCTGCTGCATGGTATTTTCTGTAGCCTGTTGGTGTCAAAACCATTATTTCCTCTTTTCTTTTCCATGTCACATATTGTTCTGTGGTCCACATGTCATGGCCATTTCATGCATTCTATGAAGTAAACTCTGCTCATGTTAAAGTAAGCCAGAAGCCCAGGAAAGTCCTGTGGGTCTAAGAACTTCTGATGAGCAGTGCCCCTCATTGAAACAAGCATTAATAGGAGCAATGGCCTTGCTTTTCTGAAAGCTGAAACAGGATACACTCAAATCAGCAATGAACTATATTAACACAAACAACATCCTTTTGATGATAATGAGCAGTTTGTTCACACTTTAGGAAAAACAATCGTTTTGTAAGGATGTCCCACAATAGGAGATCTTTTTAGGAAGGCTCACCTCTTAGTGGTTTATGGCCAGTTGCCATCCCCATTGTGTATGGGAATAGTACTAGTAGAATCAGGAGTACACAACTTCAGAAGTGAGGCCCAAATCTGGCTTTCCACAGTTCTCCGTCTTCTATGACCACCAATTGTTTAGTGGTTCTTGGCTTTCGTGCAGTTCCACTCTTCTCCATTCCTATTGGCTAACATGTCCCCTCTATGACTTCGTGCCAGTGAAAGCTACGCTGAAATAGGCTGATCATTTAGCCCTGCCCCTTTTGTGTTTGGTCCCCCCCATAATTGGAGGAGGGGCCCTGAGAGCCTTTGCGGCCTTTGGGTGGCATTGAACACTCCAATATATATTTTCAGAATGGTGAGCATTTCTGAAGTAGGGGGAAGTGAGAACTAACCTTGCACTTCTGCATGCCTGACAGGCTCAGAGATGGCTATAAATGAGGCATAGCCACAATCATTTGATGACTCGTTTTAACAGAATAGTCCAGATTAAGCATTTCTAACCAAGCCTTCCACCTATATTTTTATTCCATTCACTAGTTCCTAGACTTGGATATGTGTGTTTTTTTAAGTCTAAGAAAATGTAGAATTTATGTAAAGAAAAGCTGGTGGGGCTTTTAAAACACAAAGTACCACTTTGACGTGTTGGTGACTTACCTGTGCAAACTGTAATAAACTGGCATGTGAATGTAACACGTTATACTCGCCTGTGATGTGGAAATGACTGACCCAGTGCATGACAGTTGCTAGGTTTGTTGCTGGGGCTCGGTTTTGCCCAGGCGATATTTCCTGCATAATGCTGCATATCTGCATGAGGAGTAATGTTGCCAGTGTCTTCTAACTTAAAAGAGAATGTAAACAGTGGATGCATGTGGGGATGTGGGCACTAACAGGGCTAACCATTATACATTTACCTTTTAACAGTAGCTGACGAGACTAAGCTCAGTACAATGGATGGCCAGAAAACAGGTAAGAATTGACTGTAGGGTGGTTGCCATAGAAACCTTGGTCACAGCAGCTTATCACAATTACAGAACTGCCAATCACAGTGCATGGAAAATAATATATCAATAGTTGCATGATTCTCTTTTTGTTGCAATAACTCCAATATTATGAAATGCAATGATTAATTTACAATACTGTAGACCAGACATTTCAAGGATGAGGAAAATGACATGTGGAAAAGTGAATCTAGGTCTTCAGTACTCTAAATATAGTTCTTAAAAGACATAATCATTTCCTCCAGCTTTTTGGGTAGTGTGTCCTTTATGTATGTCTAGACCTAGAGCAAAGTGCTTTAAGAAATTCTGAGTATTTATCTACAGGCACTGTTAATGCCAGACTTCTCAATTGTGCTTTTAACCACAAAGTTCCATTGTCCTTGGATTTACCCCTAAATGGAGCTTCCATCTTTGCAACAAGTAGGCAATCAGGTAACGGGAGGCTGCCAGTTAGGCTGTTTGCCAAGTTTTCCCTTTTCCTGGTCAGGAATTAGAACAAAAGAATCTAATAAATAGAATGCATGCCAGAAGCCATGCATTGGAGGCACTTTGTTTGCTGTCTAATGGTCATGGCGCTGGTTTCGAAAGCATGAATTTATTAGCAATTAAAATAATGCACCAGCTGCAATTATAAGTCTTTATAATTTATTAATGCAAGTTAACTTTTGACCTTTGGAATGTTGTTTTAATTAGGGTCGATCTGGAGGACACAGTAACATTCCATTCAGAGAAACAGTGACATTACTCAGTTCTAATTAGGGACGACTCACCTTTGAATCCTGAAAATGTTACTTCTTTCCAGCATGACTAATTGAAGAGGGCATTGGTTCTTAATGCCTTTTTTGTTTTTGGCTCTCTTTTCAATCACACTGGGAAGCATAAATATTCTACTAGAAAAGTATATTTAGAAGAACTGGTGGCATTCAAGCATTTAGGAAGCAACTGGAGTAGCTTGGAGATTTTAGTAAGCGAGCTGTCACAGTAGCTTGCAGTGGCTTGCATGCATACATTATATGCCGAGATTAGTCTCGTTAAGTGGCATTTATCAAAGCACGTGGAGTTTAAATGTGCATCATTTTATAGGACTGCTGGAGCTCTGCAAAACTAGATTTCTCTTAGTCAGTCCTGAGCTGGCAGGCGTGTGTCTAAGTAAAATGCCAATACAACAGCAATTAATTTTCTTTTTCTTCTTGATCCCACACATTTCTGTTGTGTTTATGCCTGCAAGACATAACATTCTAGTTTTATGATGCTGTGCTCATTGGAATATCCATCCTGAATACTTGACATGCCTAAAGAGACAGGGCAGTGTCCAAAAAGAGACGCATGCTAATGTAAATGAAATTGTGGTGGCGTAGGGGGCATCAAGCACATCTCCGGTAATGAGGTTTCCCATCATTCCAGCTACGGCTATTGGTGCCTCACATCTTATTGGGCACTGCTGTAACTTTTTTGGTATAATGTATAGCATAGAATGCTGGCTGGGCTCTGTTTTCAAAATCCCATGATGTCTCCCCTGCGTTCTTCCCAGATCTTCCTTGATTCGGCCTAATTTCACATTTTCTAGGCTCTCTGCTCTTATCTATTTCTTATCCCAAGAAACAGATGGATCAAGCATTGATCACATTCTCCCTGATTTCCTCTGCTTTTGTACACAGGTCTCTTAGTTGCAGCAAGCCTAGTTAGCTCCAGAGCCCTTCAAGTTCAGGCTGTCAGCACTCACGAAGAGGTCTTTGCACTGACTATGCACAGCGTAAGAGAAATGACCAGTTGCAGTTTACAGAACACACGTTTTTAGTTTTATTTCTGAGAAAGCAAATTATTCCATGTGGAAGTGTCTGTTAATAGCCCTGAAGACACATTTGGATTACAGGGCAATGACCCTAAGCCACAAACCACCTGGGCCGTGCAAAATAAATATTTAGTGGTTCTTTTCTTTAAAAACAAATGATTTTTTTCTTTTTTCTTTGGTTTGATGAAGAGCAGATTTTCATTTGACTTTTCAAGATTTCCTGTTGTCAAACGTTGGGATACTGAACAAAATTGTGTTCTATCATTTTTTTAAGAAATAGCAACTTAGGTCATAAAAGACAAATACATCATATATGTGGTAAAACATTTTTCACTGAAATGTATAAACTGCAAACCATGGAACAGATTTACATTGGCAGAGTAAACTGTTTAAAAACTCCAGTTGGGTTTAACTGTATTGACCTCAAATGGGAAAGTAAGTTTCTCACCAGGACAGAATCTCACTCTAATAGATTTAAAAATTATTTTTCTTTCTTCAGTTTATCTGAATGGCCTAATCCTTGCCAGTATTTACAGTTCATTCCAAAGGTCAGAAATATATTCAGTAGCAATTGAGAGTTGCTCATTTGTTCAGCCTTAAGCATACAGCAACTATGATGGGTTATTCCATATTCACCTTGCCATAATGTTAACAGTAGTTCTCTGAGAATGAAAAAGCTTATTAAAATAACATGAAGTACCTGATAGACATTCATCAGTGTGTGTGTGTGGAGGGGGAGTCGATGATCTTTTTTACTAATTGACATAATTGGAGTTTTAAAATTTCACCCCCAAGTCAACATGCTACCTCTTTATCATGTAGGGTAAACTATTAAACAGAACAGCTTATTTAGAAATATGTATGTATCAACACTAATGATCTAGTTTCACTGAAACTACTGAGACCAGTGTAGCAAAGGAAAAATCTCCCCAAGCTTCAGGATCCAAAACATTTGCTTCAGCGGAAGACTAATGATCAGCTTCGGCTAGATTTCAGTGTAGCTAGAACGCTCTGGGCATGATCTGTGGTTAATGGTTTATAAATACAGTCCTGCATGTGAAATCCCCAGTCTGAAGTACTAAACATGAGCATTGCCTGATGGTTACCTGTGGTTCTGCCAATTTTCTTGGCCATGTTGGGGCATGAGGAAATTGCCTCGCCCGACAGCCACAGACTTTGCTGGACACTTTTCAGTGAGAACAACTGAACAATTGAAACAACTGAACTGAAACAATTAGGTGTTTGCCTAATCTGTCAAAAGAGCATAGAGGTAGTGAGGACAGTAGTAGTTGATACAGTCTGAGACAGCAGACCGAAGGAGACATTGTTGGAGAAAGGTTTGGCTCCAGCTGCAATGACTTCACCATATCCCATGGAAGATTCCTCCACCTCATGTACATCTGCTAAGAAGGAATCCCACTGAGTGACAGAGGCAGCTTCTTGGTCAGACTTTAGTGGCCAAGCTAGTACTTAAGTTTCCAGTAAACCTGAAGGAAGGGGTCCATAGTGCTTCCCACCAGGATTTGCTCAGCACTTGGTGTAAGGCCAGTCTTGAAGGAAGTACCCACTTGGATCCCAGTGCACTGAATACATTGCATTGGGGTCCAAGTGAAAAATGGGAAAGTTTATACAAATGATCCCCCCTTTTGTACAAATGAAAACCTGAATATTTCACAAAGAATCAAACAAATTTATTTATTTATGAAATTCCTAACCCACCCAGTTAGCCATGTAACTCCCTGAGTAGGTTACAGCAATAAAATACAAAATGGAATAAAATACAGACTAAAATACAATATAAAACAATTACAAATAAAGACTTAAACCAAGGTAGGATGCACCACAATAATGACATACGCACAGTTAAAATACTGCATAAAACAAGGTAACAATTAAAATACCATCAAAATAAAAAGGGTTTTGACTGGCACTTAAAAGATTATAAAGAAAGTGCCAAGTGGATCTCTCTGGGGAGCTTGCTCCAGAGTTGGGGCACCACTGCAGAAAAGGCCCTTCTTTGTGTTACCAGCCTCCTTATTTCCTGAGGAAGGGGTTCCTGAGGAAGGGCCTTAGATACAGATCTAAGGTGTCAGATAGGTTCATACAAGAAGAGAAAAAAGGTGTGTTGAGGGGGGAGTAGGGGAAACTGCACAGATTAAAGCCGAAAATGGAAGGGCATCCTGGTGGGAGAAATGTTCTAATGCCTGGTAGAAATGGTGAAGATATTTTGCAGACCTTTCTGGGAGATGTCTTTCAGTGACTTAAATTCCAGTGTTGCAATTATTGTGTTGATCTCATGGAAGCCAGTGCTGTAGATTCTTTCATCAGCATGAAGGAAGTTTTATAAAAACCTTAACCAGTCCCTCTGCTTATGTGGATGACCTTATCGAGTCTCAACAGCAGCAAGTTAGGTGTCACAAAACAATTTATGTTGGTCCTATACTGACCATCAATATTGGGTCAGGCAATCAAGATATGTCGCAACTTCAGCTGGACTTTGGTAAAATGAATGATCAAGGTCAAGTTTTCATGGCATACTTGTTCTAGGGATACTCAGATGGTTACTGTGAAATAGACCTAATGCAGTGTTGGGAAGGCACTGATCTTTCAGCAAATTACCAAGGGAGAAGATCTTGGAATGTCATGGGCAAAAAAACACGAGTGTGCCGAGGGCTATATTAGAACAAGCTGGGGTCCTCTCAATTTTTCCAGCCACCCTGACCAAGTTTAGATTAAGCATTCCCAAACTGTCACCCTCAAGAGGCTTTGAATTTCAGTCCCCATAAGCCCCAGCCCAAATGGCCAATGGTTAGCAGTAATGGGAGCTGTAGTCTAGAGGGGGCCAGACTGGGGAAGGGTGATCTAAGTGCTGACATGGTGAGACATATTTACAGCATCAGCTACTGAAGCAAAGCTCTGCCATGGAGCCTGAAACTATTAGAGATTCACAGCACTTGCAGTTGGGAGAGTTTAACATATCTGTCCTCTGCTGAGATAGTCAGAGCTACCACTTCCCTGTCATTCTCGTTAGATCTTAGTCTTTATGGAGAACAGCTAATCTGTAGGGAGCTGACTGGAAAAGTGCATCCATCGTGGAGTACTGCAGAACCCATGGTATCACTCCTTGCAATCCGGGGGTGGCTGAAATTTAGCAACTTCTCAGCATTGATGTTTTT